TCTTTTTCGCGCGTTCTCTCAGAAGGATGAACGGCCTTACGAACGATTTAACGAGTCATGTCCTTCCTGCATACATTTTTTGCGACACGGCATTCGTATTCGAGTGTGTTAATAGTAGTAGTAGTAGTAGTAGTAGTAGTAGTAGTAGTAGTAGTAGTAGTAGTTGTTATGGTAGTAGTGATGATGATGATGATGATGATGATGATTATGGTAGTTGTAATACCTATCGAAGCCGATGAGCTTGAGAAGAACAGCTCGTACACCTGTTCGATCGATCGTATAGAAGAAAAGAAAGACGAAAGGTAGGTTCGATCGTTCGAAAGAAGAGAATTAATCGAAGTCATCATCGATCGAAGAAACTCGCGTTCAAAGCGTATTCAAGCTTTGAAATTTCGATCGTTCGTTGTGTTGTTGTTCACCACCTACTACGGTTCATGCGTGTTCTTGGTGGAGTTTGATTCATCTATCGAATGACTTGTTTTCTAACGTTCTTAATAATGATAATAATAAAATAAATCAGTTATCTTGAAGGATATACCTACCTCTTTTATATATGAATATAAAAATAAAAATATATGATCATACGATTGGATCGTAAATAATATATCTAATAATATACATATGTATATCGTTTTTTATCTTTCTAATGGTACAAATTAAAACCATACGATATTCGATAATATCACTTTCATGGTAATAATACTCGTACACAAAAAGTCACTTTACCAAACTCATCAATTTGTTAGATTTATATTTAAATTAAATAATGTAATTCTTTTTAACTCCTAAATATAAGAATAAAACAAAATTCTCTTAATCTCAATAACGTTATTTAAATTTGTCTCAATTAAATAACAAAACGGAACATTTATATTAATAGGAAATAAATAAGTTAACATATGATAAATAAATAAATTAATAGTTCTGTAAAGTATGAAAAGAAAAAATACATATAACGAGAACGTTCTCACAATCGAGACAAAAAAGGAAAGATAATATTACAAAAATCGTTCGTTACAAAATAGTCATAATTTTCGTTCGTAATCGATAACCACTACACCCACGCATATATCATCATGGTTTAACGTTAAGGAGCGACGAACGTTCGAGAAACGCATCTCTTCTGACATCTCTGACGTATGAACTTCGTAATGGTTAATTATGGAAATGTCTTCGTTCCTTATTGAGTGACTTCCGGGACTCGAATTGCACTGTGATCCCAAATTGATACCTACGCATTATCGTCTTTCACGTTATGTATTTACATATGTACGTACTTATCCTACGATTTTATTCTAAAAGATTTCAACCGTGAGATGCATTATTTTTTGTTTTTCAACATCGTTAACGTTGAGCAAAACAACAGAAACTAATTTTTATTTTTTTTCGTTTTTTTTCAAATCGTTTAAATAAATAAAAAAAAACATTTAATCGTAGGAAAACCTCGAGTCACAAAACATATTACTCGTAATTATTTTTATATATATATTTTTATTATATATTATATATAATAATTNAAAATTGAGACAATTTTTTTTTGTAATACATATATAAAGTAACAATTTTTTCTCGTGATTCAAAATTTATAATTATTATTATATATTATTTTTATATATATATTAATTATATATTATTATTATATATATATATTATAATATAAACATATTACTCGTAATTATTAGTATGAAATTTTGATGAAGTATTAAAAAGTCCGATCGTAACGATTATTTTCGAACAGTTCGTGCTTAATGACATATCAAAAGTTCTTTTTTTTTTTTTTCTCTTGTTCTACAGTGTCCCGATATATTTTGATCTCTCTTATGTTAGAAGAATTAAAATATAAAAAGAAATTGTACATAAGTCGGGAATAGAAAAGAACATTTAACGACGCACTTTTGAATCGTCGCTCGTTGTCGCTCCTTTTTAAATCATTATTCGCAGCTCGTCGAGCTCATCGTAACGTAGTCCGGTCACGTTCGACTCGTAACTCGGTATAACGAAACGTAACACACAAATCCCACAGAGCAAAACGTCCATATATATATACAAATATATATATATATATATACAATCGTATTACTTCGCGATTCTTCCACGTTTATTCTACGCCGTTTCTTATTTCTCAACTAACGCGTACTACAAAGCTAATATAAAGACTTTTTTCGAAAGGAAAATTGTATGTGTAAGGGATTTAATATAATGTGAAAGTGTACACGTATGGAATTGGAGGGATGTGTGTGTGTGTGTAGGGGGGGAGGCGTTAAGAAGTCTGTTTGAGATGTTTGTGTTGTGTTGTGTCGATCGTGTTGGATAAGCGAAGTTGTTGAAAGTCAAGATGACGGAAATAAGAGTCACGCATGCGATGGCTACCCGTGGTGGGCTTTGATAAAAATGAAAAGGAAGTCTTTCTCCTGGCCAAGAAAAGATGGCCAATCATCGATAAGTTGAAAACTTCAAGAAACAGAAACTGAGTTAACGTGTATGGATTATATTTATGTATGGGCTTTCCCACAAATTATCTGAATTTCGTTGAGGAATGGTGTCGGTTTTTTTTAATATATCGATTAATAAAAATAAAAACAATTATATTCCAAAAGTTATTATGTACCAATAATTATAATAGTTAACTAATTTATAGGATTCATACAATTTAGTTATTTTATAATATAAATCATCAAATATGAATATTTTTAATTCTTTGTCTTATTGTTAGTCCCACTTTTATAATTACCATAACATATGTGTATGTACAACACATTCTTCTTATATACATCTTTCGTTTCATTCTTTTTATTTCTTTTTTTTTCCTTTTCTTTCGCTTTCTTTTTATACCCTTTGATGTGTGAGAGATCGAAATGAAAGCTTGCTTCCCCTCATACATTGTCTGAATCAACGAATTGTTTCTCGACCACCTATCGTGATTCCAATCCAATGTTTTCGTCGGTCCGAAAATGAAGTACTCTTTTCGAATAAGTACAGTTACCTATAAAGATGCATTTCAAAATGGGGAGTGGAGGGAGGAGGGGGAGAAGAACGAATGAAAACAAGAACAAAAGAGAAAGAGAAGAGATGCATAAAAATAATTGCACAACAACAGATCAATAAAATAACTGTATACTGAATTAATTCGATGACACGTATATATATAAGCGTAAAAGTAAGTGTGTGAAATACAAGCTGAAAAGATATATATTACCATGTTGAAATTATTAATAATGTATAAATCGTCGATTTATATTTCATTACAATTTACCCGTATTTCTACACACCCTTTATACATATATACATATACAATATAATAACTGTTTAACAATTCTATAAATGAATAAAACACATATTATCGTTGTACGGAAATGAAGATTAAAAAAAGGATATAGGGGTTCATTTAATTATCAATACACATCGAGAAAGATTTTCAAACGAAACGAAACGATTTCATCGTGGAAGATCATTAAGGAACGATTCATCCGAGTATATCCTGTTTTAATCGATTTAAAAGAGGAGGGAGGGAGGGAGGGGATGATGATCGTCTTCCTCGATCAACGAACACAACTCTGACGCGCACGTATCTCGCGAAAAAAAGGAACGAGATGAAAAAGAAATAATAAAAGAAAGGAAGAAGGGTATGAATAAAGGTGTGGTGTGGTTGTGCGAGGGGGAGAGGGTGGGGGAAGGGGAAGGGGAAGAGAACGGGGGATGAGAACGGAGAAAAGAAAACGAAGAGTGAAGAAGTACAAGGAGAGGCAAAGTTAAAAGCGAAAAAGTAACCGAAGCATGAGCTCGCGGTACGATTAATTGGCTCGATTACTTGGTGGGCGCGCATGCGAATCCTTGCTTATTAAATGCGTTTAATTAAGTCGCACGGTACTACGTCGGACTGCGTAATGATCGTTGAAAGCCCTCTACCACCACCACCACCACCACCAGCATCACCATCACCACCATCATCACCAACTCTTTTCTCTTCTTTCTTCTTTCCTTTCCTTTTTTTTCTTTTCTTTTCTTTTTTTTCTTTTATTTCTATTTTATCACGGCGAGTAGTGGGTTTACGGGTTCTGGCTTCTTGTCGAGAAACGGGCGAACGTGTTGTTGTACGCATTTTACCTGCGACAGCTGCGATACCGTTTTACATAGATTTCTATTTACGTATATATATATATATATGTATGTATACGTGTATATTAAATTTACATATATATATATATATATATATTTACGTATACGTTACCACCAACATACGTGTTACGCGTTAGTAAATATTTAAATAACGTTAGGAAAGAAAAAGAAAAAGTAATAATATAGACGGTGAACCGTTCGTCGTTCTGGATGCACGTTTTCTCAAAGCCCAAGAAGGATCCGTCGTCCATTGCAATAAAAGTAGGGATGGGGAAAGGGGAGCAAAGAGTATGGAGTATAGCGATCGTCTAGTTCCCTACACGCGCGGTCGTCTTTGATAAAAGTGTGAAATGAATCGTCAAACGTCTGGCGCCAGAGGTATATAATATGTAGCGTGGGAGAGAGGAGAGGAGAGTAAGAGAAGTGTTCTTTCTCTCTCTCTCTCTCTCTCTCTCTCTCTCTCTTTCTTTTTCTGTTTTTGCAGTGATACGGTGTATGAAGTTTCAGCGTTGCGAAAGGAAATCGTGCGTTTCGTGACGAGTATCACACGGGAAATGGCCTTATGCATATAAATATGTGTGTGTTGTTATTATATATGCGTATAAATGCGTATATATATATATATATATATATAATGTTTGATATGATTATACGTCAACAACATTTTATATATCATTCGAATTTTTTTAACTCAACGAGAGAAACAATACTTTCTTTAATCTTTTATCTTTTTATCCTTATTCACATTTTATAGAATATATACGCAATTAAAATTTTTAATTTGCTTACGTATTATATATAATTGAACGATCGATCGATCGATTTATTTATTTATTTATTTATTCCGTTTTTTATTTTATTTATTTCTTCTTATTTTTTTACAGCCACAGAATTTGGTATTAACCGGCGATTTTCCCGATTGCGACGTGAAACTCTGCGATTTTGGTATATCGCGATACATCAGCCATGGTGCAGACATACGTGAGATCTTGGGCACGCCCGATTATGTTGGTGAGTAGTCTCTCTCTCAATTTAGAAAAATAAAATAATAAGACTTTAAATATAAAAAAGAAAAAACGAAAAAAAAAACAAAAGCATTCTATAAGGCGACGACGAATCTTGGGGAAAGAGGGAGGAAGGGAAGGGGAAAAAAAGGAATAAGAAATTGTATAACTCACGATGAAATGAACGTCCTCGGAAGAGAGAAGCCAACAGAGCGGCAACAGACAGCAGCCACCCGATGTATCAGCAGGGGCGCATAAATTAAAAAGGATTGCCGAACGAATATAAATATAAATCATTTGACGTGCGTTGAAATCGATCGCCGCGGGTATCGCTTCAGTTTTATTTTTTTTTTATTATTATTTTTATTTTTATTCTTATTTTATTCCACCTTTTTATCTCTTTCTCTCTTTTTTTATTCTTTTCATTTCACGGACCGACCAAAGAACCCCTTCCCCCTTCTCCCCCTCCCCGTTGGCTGTCGTCCACTAATCCTCTTCTCTTTCTCTCTTACTCCAACGGGTTTGTTATATTATTCTCCGAGAAAATCTGGTTGCGTTCGTTGTTGTTGGGTGGCTCGTTTCGTAGCGCGTAATTCCATTAAGGAAACAGGGCCCGGTTGCATAATTGAACAGAACAAGCCACTTCACAGTCGGTAATAAAGCCGCACGCACCGGTGGTGATGGTGGTGATGGTGGTGGTGATGGTGGCGATGGCAATGTTGGTGGAATTTACTCGTCGTTTCTCTTCAACTGCTATTGCTACTCGCGCTTGTGCACTCGTCAAAGAAATGAGAGAAAGAGTGGAGAAGGGAGGGAGAGAAGGGAATAAGAGGAGAGTCCTTTTACGATCCTCGCGATTACTACTCCCGCAATTATTTCTGACTCCCGTCTTCTCTAACGGTCGTCGAGTCTGAATGAAAACGGGACGAAAGGTATACTCGAGAATAGGGAGAGGAAAAGAGAAAGAGAGAGATTTACCCTTCGATTCATATGCGTGCCGTTTTCGCGCTAGTCGACACATAAATCGTCGACTTTCTTGATTGCCTCTTCACCGTATACCTATACTCTACCTTTCATGTTTATGTTTCTTATTGTATATGACGATATTAGAATATGAGTACGTATTTCATTGAGAAAGGATCATTTAAAATATATATTTTTCCCCCTCCTCTTTTGTTTTTTTTTTTTTTTGTTAATTGTTAACAATGAATTCTAAATAATTCGATTAAAAATTGAATGTTTAATTATTATTATTATTATTATTGATGTTTATTTTAATCAGAATTAATAATTTCCAATGAAAAGAAAAAAAAAGTAAAATTTTGTAATGCGAAATTAGGTGTACGTATGATAGATTCAATAATGATCGAATTAAATGGGATAACAAGACGACGGTGTGCGTGTGCCGTGTTAGAATAAAGGTTTATATCATCAAATAAATCTACATAGCGAGATATAATATATACTACAGAACAGAACTGTAGATTTAACACAAGCCAAGGGTATATGATTTCAATGAGAAGAAGATAAAACGACGACATAATAAATCATCATCCTCTTTAAAACGTTCCTTCCGCATCCGTGCGTGTTTCAGCCCCAGAAGTCCTGAATTACGAGCCGATCAGTCTGGCAACCGACATGTGGTCGGTCGGAGTTCTACTCTACGTTCTTCTAACGGGATGCTCCCCTTTTGGCGGTGATACCAAACAGGAAACCTTTTGTAACATCAGCAGATGTCGTTTAGATTTTCCGGACGATCTATTCGAGGACGTATCAGAAGAGGCGCGAGATCTCATGCGCAAACTCATGGTCAAGGATCCAAGGTAAGCCCCGATTGTTATTATTATTATTATTATTATCGTTCGATAACAAAACTATGATATAATTATTATTAATCGATTACCCCCCCCCTAATTCTGTTATTACACGATAGGATAGAATACGTTCTCGATGAATACGTATAAACAAAAATTATATATATATTGAATTATATATTTATCGAAAAATACTTTTTTCTTTGACTCCACTCATTGTCGGATAAAGTGTCCTGGTAAATAAAGAAATTTTTTTTTCTAACAATTTGATTCGATCGTGCGTAAAAAAAAAACGTTCGTGTAAAAACAGAATTGTTGGGGGGATGTATTTGTAAATTAAACGTTCGATAATTATATAGGTTTCCCTTAAATTCTCTTTTATATTTTTATAATAAGGAGAATAATATTACAAAATATTGTACATCGATATTATTATATTTATGATTACAATCGATTTTGTATATTTTCTTGTAATCGTATTATAATTTCCGACACGATTAAATATTATTACTTTATATATATATATGTCGTATATCCGTTAATTTCCATATAATTTAGCTCGCGTTACGAATGTTATAACACGAGGCGCGTAGAATGTCGTCGACATTATAAGTTACACGAGCCACGCTTGTTCTTCTTCGAAGAAATCAAATAATACTAACATGCTTCTAATATATCCCACCGATGAACAAGCAGATCGCATTCGTTTTTCCTATGCGCCGCCGTTGCCGGTGTATCTCTTTTCATTTGGTCCTATGTAGCGTAAACTTTCTCGGTAAGTCATGACAGACTTCCCCGAAGACATTATTTACAAGCATAAGTCTGAGAAATCATAACGCGATATATTATGACTTCGAAAATAACAAGAAAAAGAAAGAAAGGGAAAGAGAGAGAGAGAGAGAGAGAGAGAGAGAGAGAGAGAGAGAGAGAGAGAGAGAGAAGAGATAGAGATAGAAAAAAAAATATCTTAAACACCAACTCGTTGGAAGAGATCTCGTTTCTCGTGGATCTTCCATTTCAAACGTGTTAGGTACTTCAATGCAGCATAATACATGCTACTACACATACAAATTTTGTTGACTAATAAGTAACTCGTTGTCATTTTTTTAATATATACCTAATACATATTTGTTTTATAATTTTCCAATCCAATTCATCCAATATTTTTTTAATCTTTTTGTTTTTACACCAAATTTAGAAATATCCATTTCGCAAGCCTCTATTTTATTCATTAATCAAATTTTGTAACAAACGGAATAAATGATAATCTCTCACGGTGGTACTGAATTAAATGAATTCCTTTGCGAAAAAAAAGAAAGCATAAAAAGTTCAATACACGAAAATACAAATTATTCGTCGTTGTTCATCCTTAAATCTATATAAATAATACAAAATTATATCAAAAACGATAGAAATAATTTTGTTGTTCTGTTTTAAAAAAACATTAGAAACGATTTCAGAAAATATCCGACATTACTTGTTAGATAACTAAACACAATTTTCATATATACAGGTATTACAAATACGTGTGTGTAAATATATATAGATAGATTTTTCTGAATTAAAAGAGAGAACGAAAAAAAGGAAAAACAAACAAACAAATCCAGTCTTTGCTCTGACTTTCTTTAAAACGGGAAGAGGAATAGAAAAACTCGTAGATTTCCTTATCGTGAAACAGATGGACAGCTGGAAGGAAGTCTCCATCCGGGCTATCCGTCCTTCCTCGCAAAGCCAGGGCTTATCTCGTTGACGACAATGCTCAACGGAAAGGCAGAGAGAGAAAGAGAAAGAGTAAAAGAGTAAAAGAGAGAGAGAGAGAAAAAGATAGGAAATGATACGTCACACTAGTATATACGAGAGAACGATTACGATGAGCCGTGTCGACGCACGATTTACTTTTTTTTTTTTCCCACTTCTCTCTGTCTCTCTCTTTTTTCTTTTTTTTCTTTTTCTCTTTAGTGTAACTACTACTAAACGGATGGACGTTACGCAATCCAGTTAGTCCGCTATCGAAGACAATCCTGTTCTTCGTCCGGAAGTCAAAGCGTTTGACGACGACCACAAAAGTATATACTAGGTCTCCTTATTCGAGAAATTTTCATGTTTACTTTTTATACCTGAAAGACTTCTTTTGATAATGTCTCTCGAGTAAACTTATACATACGTACATGCATGCATGCATGCATAGGTATATATAACACATACCAAATTTATCTCGGAATATTCATCGAATGTATAACATAAGTATATATTATTACTTTTGTTCGTATGTAATGTGTATATAAAGGTTTTGGAAAAGAAAAAAAAGTGTCGTTAGATAAAATTCCCCCTTCTCGCGTGGGTTTTTTGATATTCGACCTCCGGTTAATCGGAGCAGAACTTGGGTAACGAGTTAACTGTACTTTCACGCGATTCGATTATATCTCACAATCAGGAACATTAAGAAAAGATACTATATTCCGGGTTGCACCTGTATTATTATTGCGTATTTAAATATTCAAACTTTACGGTATATTGGTTATAGAATGGAACATTTTAATCTCTAAGTTCTATCGGCTAAATATCTTAAATCAATTTTCATGTTTTTTTAAATTTCCTTTAAAAACTAATCTCTATTCGTTTATAATTCGTATCATATATGATTATATTAATAAGTGTTATTTGTGTATTTCAGCGAACGACTGACAGTAACGGAGTGTCTTCAACATGCATGGTTCGCCATGTTCGATGACCCAGTGCCACCGTTATCCCCTTCACTTCCACCTACGGAAGACTCCACTTTAAAATCAAAGACGATCTCGCAGCAAGAAGAAGAACAACAACAGCAACAACCACCACAACAACAACAGCAACAACAACAACAACAACAACAACAGCAACAGCAGCAGCAACAACAACAGCAACAGCAGCAGCAATCATTGAGTAATAATAAATCCTCGACGGAAGAAAATAAAACGACAATTCCAAGTTCTACGCCAAAATGTTGCGACAACGATAACAACGTAAACGTTAGAACGTCGAACAATCCTAATCAAAATGAAATGAAGACAGTGACTACACGTGCAATGTCTTCGCATACTGAAAATATTTATTCGACTTCTAAATCTAGCCCTAAACCAATAAGATTCGGTTTGAGTTCCGATCGTAAGGATATATTTAAACGTAACATGGACTCGCTGGCACAAAAATTTTCCAGCACGGAGATCGTTATAATAGAGTCATCATGCGCGAATAATAATAAGAATACGTCGACAACTACTACAACGATAACGACTAATTCGACAATGATATCTGGAAACGTGAGCACGCCTAGAAGAGCAACGGCTACGCACACGATGCCAGCTGGCGAAGTTTTCAAATGTACGCCGGTGTTCATTCTTGGCGAGGAACAACAGTGCAGCGACGGTGGTAGCGATACGGTATCGGAAATTTCGACTGACAGTTCGAGCGATCGAAGTAGCATTTATTCCGACGACTCGTTGGATTTTATTCTATATGGGAAAACCCAGGGAGGAGGTGGTAAGCCCAGTTTTCCCTTCGCAGTTGTTGCCGATTCTACGACCGACAGATGGGAACAAAGGCATCACCATCATCACCACAATCCACGAGCCTGGCCTAGAGAATGCAACGGCGTTGTTAGCAAAGCACTCAGTCGTTTCACGTCAGAAACGTCAAGCAGCAAGTCCTCTAAGTTGTCAACGACGGTTCCACCGGTAGTTCGCGGTAAGACTGGCTTGGAAGCTCTCAGAGAGAGGGGKGGCAATCTGGTTGTCATAAGGGAACCCGTCAGAGCCGGTAGATATACGAGGTACACTGAAGTTCAGTGCGAATCGGTGCAGGCACGGATTCGACGTTTCCAAGTACGCGAAGCGTCTTAAAGGAAAATAATCTTTCTCATCCCCCCTCCACCCCTCTACCGTCTTCAAAGAGGACATTTAGGTGGGACGCCTAACCAACTTTTTACTTGGTACTCGCCGTCGTTATTTTTCAAACGATGATCCGTGATAGAGACTGATGCTTTCATTTTATTTTTTTTTTTTTTCCTTTTTTTGTACATAGAAAAGAATGTTAATCGTGTACAGTTTAGGGCCAATCGTGCCTCATTACGACTAAATTCTGTAGGTATGGGAGAGAGTGTTGTTATGTAATAGTGAGAGAAATGTAATAAGCGCGAAAGAGAGAAGAGATAGGATGGAGAAAAAAAAAACGTTTATTAATGCGAACAAATGGCTGTTGTATATATATATAAGTGAGATACAATTTATAGGTGCGTGTGATGACGTGCATGTCGTTTTGTTCTCTCCCCTTTTTTCTTTTTCTTTTTCTTTTCTTTTCATTTCATTTCTTTTCTTTTTTCTTCGAGAATTATGACCAGGACGTAATCCACAAATTTTCTGTGGTACATAATTAAATAAATAAATAAATAAATACATACATAAATACAAAGCGTACGGTCAAGATAAAAAAAAAGAAAAAAACGTTATACATACATAACGTTATACGGCAAAGATAACGAGGCTTTTATGGTACTGTGTAAATAATAGAAAGAAGAAAAATAGATAAGAAGATGTAAAGTTGGTTATAGAAAGTTGGGAATACGTATTAGTTAGGAAACTGTAAACAACTCGTTATCTGCCGTTTTCAAAAGGAGAAGGGACGAACTTTCGTGGCGACTTAAAAAAAGAAAGAAAAAAAAAAAAACGTATTTGTGCGAGCATCCAGTTAAAATGATAAGAGAGAAAAACAAAATAGTGGTGCTTTAGTTTGATTTCCATTCGAATTGATGATGTTATTTCGATGATCAGTTCGTTGCGACAAACAAGCGTATCTATCATTAATATTATTCGTCGCCCAGTATGGTTGTTGTATTAATATATATTAAGAGATAAAGTGTTCAGCGTCCTGTTCGACGAATTTTATATTACTAAGCTCCATTTCAATAACTTTGGTGCCTTCGTAATAAGCGTTTATAAGATTTCAAACAAACTCCTCGTATAACGTATGATGATTTATGTAAATACACATACATCTATACATACATATATTTCGCATATAAAATACACACAATCAGTAAGTAGTGCCTGCTCCTTCGCATAAAACTTGCACACCATATTATAACACGCAATACGACTGTACGAATTTAAAGAAAAAGTCACGAACGAGATTGTTGTCGATGGACAATAGTGCCTTAACCGCGCGTGCAAAAACCTTTTCACAGGGTAGCTCGTCGATTATGCGAAATTGAGAGCCTAGACGAGCCTTTAGGCGTCTCTAATTATTACTATTAATATTAATATTATTATTATAATTATTATTATTATTATTATTATTATTATTGTCTCTTTTTCTTCCGTGACGTCGAAGGAATACGAAAGGAAAATTTTTAAACGATGATTCAAATATAATAAACACAACGCCTACAGTTTTGGAAAATTACAATATTTGCAAATGGAATATAAAGTGAAAAATAAAAATTAAATTAAAAAAAAAAAAGAAACAAACATAAAAATAGAAATAAAAAATAAAATAAAATAAAAAACAATTAAAAAGAAAAAGGAACACATAACATACGTCATAAATTTTTCGTTGTCAATGTTACGAGAGAAAAAAAAATGTATTGCTCATTATAAGTAATTATCAATTTTTCTTTTCCTCCGTTGACGCCCATCATCATCATCATCCATCTCTTTCGACGTTGCTTCATATCAAAACTGCCCCAATCGACGATCGAAAATGGTTGATCTCGAATGTTCGATCGTTGATAATGTGCCTCTCAATATAACTGCCGGTAATATAATAATAGCGAATAAATAATATTCACTCGCGTAACAGGATAACAATATATAAATATTCGACGAATTTCAATGGCGTTTGTTAATCAAAAACAAAACAAGAAACCATTTAAACGACGAGCACACACAACAGTGACGAAATATTTCGTATTCGGGTCTCACGTTAAGCTTAAGAATGATGAATAATATATATACGAACATGCCTCAAATCCCCACCCCAACCCCCACCTTGCCGGTTTAATATTTCTTTTGTTTTTTATTTTATTTTATTTTTTATTCTGTTCTTTTTTTTTTTGTATTCTCTTTCTTATTTTCTTTTTCCATTTATTTATTTCCAAATCCAAATTAAGGATACACACACACATACACACATCGTCGATCTATATATCTATCCACGTTTAGTCGCTAAACGGTGAGATACGAATGCGGATCGAAATTAATCTCTTGCGTCGGAGAAGGAATATTTAAATAATATAACTGTCGTTGGTGTATTTGTAATATTTTCCAAGACGTACATATATATGTATATGTATATATTTATATATATATATATATATATATATATTATATTAATTATGTTAATTTCTTTCGCGACATGACAATAATAAGCGAAAGATATTCGCGGAGATGGGAAGAGCGCGACTTCCGAAAAAGAAGATTTAAATAACAACAAAATAAAACAAAAAAAATAAAAAAAGAAAAGATCGAGAATATATAAGTCGCTCGAGGGAAAATCGAATTATTCCGCGGATTGCGAGGAAATAAGTAGTAGTCCCATCGTACTCCGTTAAATACTAGTCAAATATATATATATGTGTGTATAATATATATATATATATATATATATATATATAATTATTATATCGTTCGTTTTCCTTGGATCCTCGTCGTATATCTCTAATTGTTATCATCGTTCTCCGGGCACACGGTCGTTGGCTTCTCGTCAACGAACGGTCAGTGTCCTCTCCAATCATTTTTCCAAAGTTTTTTTTTTTTTCCATATTGGAGAACGCGACTGGTGGTGTCTGATGTTGAAAAGAAAACGAACGATCGTATTAGTCGAAATGACAAGGCTTTCTTCGTGGTGAAACGTTTTATCATTCGATGATCGACATAAGACCTTGTTAATTCTTCGTGCCGATATATATATATATATAAATATAAATGTATATATGTGTGTGTATATATATATATATATATATATATATATATATATGTGTGTGTATATATATATATATATATATATATATATATATAATAAATATATATATAGGTATTGTATATCTAATTGAATAATTTCACTTTTTCTTTTTTAACAGACAGACATACATACATACATACAGACAGACACGTATACACAACATATATCCAGTTTTACTCGGATGATTAAAAAATAAATGAATGAACGTAAATGTAAATCGTCGCGAAGAAATCACAAGGTTCTTTTACTCGATCAATTTAACGACGACGACGACGACAACGATATCAATAACAAAATATCATTTGTATCATAATCATCATTATTATCATTCTCTCATCCGGTAAGAGACAACAAACGAAGTTCGTAGACTTCATCAAACTGTCCAATGTTAGGAGAGTAAAAGTTTACAAGTGCAAAGAAAAATATCTAATCACGTTTAAACTAATTCAATTTATAATATTATCATTGAAATGTGGAAGAAAAATATCGCACAACATGGAATATTATTATTATTATTATTACATCATACTGTCGTTGCACGCACACACACACACACGCGGTCGTTACGAGAGAAACGACGCTTTTTACCGTGAAAAACAAAAAACAAAAAAAAACAAAAAACAAAAAAAAGATAATAATAAAATAAAAACAATAATCGCGCGTTTATTTAAGTTTATCCTTTTCCGAGCGCGAATGATGTGATCGTGTTGTCTGTTTCTTTTTTTGTATGTTTTTCTTGAGCATGAAAGAAGTTGTTTCTTCTGTGTGATTCGAAAGAAGAAGGATAAACTTCTGTAATATAGTTTTGCTACTACGGAATGTAGGGATAGGGCTTGGCGTTCAAACGATAAATCGTTTCGTTCGTTCTTTCTCGAGGCTAATTTTGTTTTCCTTATTTATTTTCGTTCTTTTTTTGTTCTCACAGGATGAAGAAAACACGTGTCGTATTTAATTATCGTATTCGATTGATAATTTCGGTTGTTTTAATATTAATCTTGTGTAATATCATTTAAATAATAATAATAATATATATCGCCTCGGGAAAGACGAATTCGCGTAATTTTCTTTTTTTTTCTTTTCTTTTCTTTTTCTTTTTCTCTCTTTTTCTCTATTGCATGAACGCGCTCCATCCTTCATCCGAATTTATTCTATTAATATTATTATTATTATTATTATGTTATTATTATATTATTATTATTTTATTATTATTACTATTAATTATTTTATTATTATTACTATTATTATTATTATTTTATTATTATTATTAATATTGAAGTTTATTCTGATGGAAAACACGTTCGTGTACCTAGAACTTAACGACATCCTGTAAATACTGCTATCATTGTATTTTCTTTAATAACGTACGAAATAAATGCTATAAAATATGAAAGAACGAGTGATATTTGTTATTGTACATTTTCCCGATCCTGCTAACACGTTTGAAAAGATAGAAAGGAAAAAGATGTGGATTCTTTGATGCACGGATATAACGATTTTCTTTCGAAAATATTCTCTTACTTTGTTATCTTTTTTTCTTCAAAGAATGACTTTCAAGATTTATTATTCGACTAATTATTTTTATGAAATAATAAATAACAATAATGCGTTGAAAGCTGGATCTTCATTCGACGTAAGATCATCGACGCTATCCGTTTCAAATGAGTAATTCAGTTAGTTCGGTTTCTACCATCTACTGAAGGAGCAATTTTCAATTTCACTCTAGACTCGTAACTCGTATAATTATTCCAAGGATATATATGTACATATATTTTACGTTCTACGTGTTAACGGTCAATGAACTCGGCAAACAGATAACGAAATTAACCCTTCTGCAGTCCCGTGTGACTTTAAAGTTACATACCAATATATTATATATAGATACTTTTTTATTTTTAATTAAATATTATCTTAATAACCTCCCTATGTGTGCAAGCTAATAAAATTCATTATTAATTTGTATGTATAATGATTGATATTTTCTTGATTTCAAATTATATCAATTTTTCTATTGTCACGAAAAAAAAAAAAATTCAAATTATATAAAGTTGAATGAACGCAAAGAGGATCATCAAGTTTATTATATAAAAAAATTCCAATATTATAATAAATAATTTAAAGATTATATCATAATATTATTATCACCAGAGTAAGATAAAAATGAAACGTAGTATTATAATAATAACTAAAAGAATGCGTGCCCATATTAGCTTAAAAAGGTACAAATCGTTTGACTATGCGATCACGTCATATCATTAGAATAGAAACGTTAGAATCTCATCTCTTTTATCGATTAACATCTCCTAGATAAGATAAACGAAGAGAAAATGAAATAAGTCTCTTAGGACTGAGGATTAGATCATGCTATTCCAGCTTGCTCGTTTTACGATCGGCGGCTCCTCCGTGCCGCTGATTTAGCTTACCATTTAAAACGATAATGATAG